CCGCCGGGTCCCTCCATCGCGCCCAGCATCCCGAGCCAAGCACCAGGCCTCGGGATGAACCTCGGCGACCGCCTCAGACCGCAACCGGTGGCGCCTTCGCCCCGTGCCCGAGGGGCACAAAACACGTCTCCTGACGTGGGATCGACCCCCCCCCCCCCGCCCCAAAGTGTCCCCGGACCGGGGCTAGGCAGCGCGCAGAGACGCACTGCGCGGCCCGGACCTCGGGCGCGCGAGGCCCTGCGATGGGCCGACCCCGGCCCGCGCGGCCCGCGCAGCCCCCGGCCGCGCCGCGCCGCGCCCCGCGCCCGCAGTCCCCCGCTCACCCTCGATGGAGATGACGTGCTCCCGGATCTGGCTCTGCAGCGCCAAGTCCTCGATGCGCTCGATCAGGTCGTAGATGGCGTAGATGTTGGGATGCACGGACTCGAAGCGCTGGATCTCGGCGCGGATGGCCGCCGAGTTGGAGAGCGCGAACTGCTGAGGGGGGCCGCCGGCCAGCTGCGGCGAGGGGCCGCCGCCTCCGGCCCCGGGTCCCGCCCCGCCGAACTGCCCGCCGCCCCCCGCGCCGCCGCCGCCGCCGCCGCCGCCCCCCGGAGCCGCCAGGCTCTGCTGCTGCTGCGGGCTCTGTCCCCCGCCCGCCTGGAAGTTCATGGCTCCGGGGCCGCGGGGCCCGAGGCGGGCCCGGCTGGGGCCCGGGGCGGCGCGGCGGCGGCGGCGAGCGGGCGCGCGGGGCTGGCGGGGGGCCCGGACCACGGAGCGGGCGGCGCGGGGCTAGCGCATGGGGCCGGGGATCGGGGGCCGAGGCCGGAAGGCGCCGCCGCAGCACGCCGTGGCCGCCGCCGGGAGCTCCCGGGCGCCGAGGTCCCGCTGCCTCCGAGCAGCCGCAAGCGGCAACAACAACGGGACCGGGAGCGCGCGGCCCGGGCCCTCCTCCGCGTCATGCGCACGCACGGCCGCCCCCGCCGGCTCCGGCACGCGCAGCCCGCGCCCCCCGCCCCCGCCCCCGCCCCTCCCGCGCGCCGGCCCGCGCCCCCGCCCCTCGCTCTCGCGGGCTCCGCAGCCTCCACCCCCGGGCGGGGGGCGCGCTGCAGCCCGGCGCTCCGCCCCTCCCGCCGGCTGCCGCCCAGCCGCCCGCCGCTCGGCAACGCTGCCCCGTCCCCTCCCCGGCGGGCTGGCCTTTGCCGCGCCCTGCGCCGGCGGGGTGGGTGTGGTGCCGCCAGGCTGTGCCCGAACTGTGCCCTGCGCCCCAGGATTCTGAGGAGCGGTGGAGGGTTGGCCCGGAAGCCTGCCCGGCCCCACGGTGCCACCCTTAACGCCACCCTGCCTTCGGTGCGGGCCCCAGGCCCAGATCAACCCCGGAGCCCACACCGCTGCTGGGGGCGGGGGGGGGGGGGGGGGGGGGGTCTTCACCACTGGCTTTGGCGCCCAGGCTTCCCGCTGCTGTTTTCAGATCTTCCACGGTCTGATCGGGATACACCTGGAATGACACTTGGGACAATATCCCAACTCTTATACTCATGACCCAATTCCCCCCCCCCCCTTTTTTTTTCCTTTTTCCTTTTGTACCAGTCCTGGGGCTTGAACTCAGGGCCTGGATACTGTCCTGAGTTTCTTGTGCTCAAGGCTACTGCTCTACTGCTTGAGTCACAGGTCCATTTCTGTTTTTGTTTTTTGTAGTTAATTGATGATAAGAGTCTCACAGACTTTCTGTCCTAGCTGGCTTTGAACCACAGTCCTCAGATCTCAACCTCCTGAGTGGATAGGATACAAGCATGAAGTGCCTGGCTTAACCCAGCTTTGTTTTGTTTCTAATGAACCCAGATTTAGAGAAAGTAGCAGAAACGTGATAGTTTATTAAGAGACTACATAAAGCTCCCACACTGGATTAACCCACTTTTTAAAGACCCTGTCTACCAAACGAGGAAGGGTTTGCTGAATGCTGCCCTACATTATTGGTACAGAGAGAAAGGAGAGGGAGGACTCAATTGTCTTCTTTCCCATTGGTCCTGTGAAAAATGTACTAGAACCCACAGCACTCCCATAATTTTCCTTGTTCTACTACCCCACTTTGTCCATCTTGTCCTTCTACTACTCCTGAGGTCAAGGAGTTCTATTCAATGTCACATTTACTCTGCACTCCCATTGCCAACTGTCTACAGTTCAGATAGCCAACACACCAGACACACACACACACACACACACACACACACACACACACACACACATTCTATAGCCCCAAAAGGTAGCATGGCTTCAGCTAATAAATTTCTTGGGGCTATACCCAGATGTCTTCTGAAGACCACTGATACAGTCATTCTTTTTACCCACACTTCTATTTTCTAGGCCAAGCTAGATCTTTTCTCAGCATGAAGTCATCTGTGAATATATTACCTATACAAGAAGTCTGCCCCAGGGGCCTGGGAAGGTGGCTCAGTGGTAGAGTGCTTGCCTTGCATGCCTGAGGCCCTGAGTTTGATTCCTCAGCACCACATAAGCAAAAAGAAAAAAGCTGGAAGTGGAGCTGTGGCTCAAGTGGTAGAGCTAGCCTTGAGCTGAAGAGCTTAGGGACAGCGCCCAGGCCCAGAGTTCAGGCCCCACGACCGGAAACCCCCCCCAAAAAAGAAGTCTGTCCCAGTATAAACCGAATCACCATTCCTAACCTCTTGCCATCCAAATGACCAAGTGCAAATGAATCCATACTTGGTACCTCTTAAACTCCTGAGGGATGTAGATTTCTATCTATATGAAATTAAGGATGTCTTGCACCCATTCTGGGCTTCATCTGCAAAAATAATACTGTTGAGCAGAAAACCTGGCTCTGCTGGTTTGTGTTTCTAAAAGTAACATTATCATTTCTTTTAGATGTTTTATTAGAAGTTGCACCAGGTGTACTTTCCCAGAGATATGCTTGGAGGAAAGTACTCCATGTGTTGCCCCAGCCACCAGCACATACATGCCTGTTTTAAGATTAATGGGCTCTTTCCAAGTCTGCTCTTCTTTTAGTAGGTAAGCCATATGAGGGTAGGAAAGGAGCTGATAAACCATTGTATTCCTAGCATTTCACATAGTACAAGGCCTATAACATCTATTTAGAGCCCTTGGCTTGGGGCCATAAGTAGTATATACTATGCAAAGGCTAGGGTAGGCTGATGATGTGCAAAGTCAGCCAGCCTGGGAGACTGAGGCCATAGGCTCAAGGGCTCAAGGCCATAGAGACCCTGTCTCAGGAAATGGGTGGGAAGCACACATGTGGACACACACACAGGACTGGCCTGGCCGGTGAAGGCTAGGACACAAGACTTCTTTGTTTACTGGATCCCAAAGGAAGGAGGGAAAAACCCCAAGTTTAGCTGTCACGGTCTGGCTGGGACTCAATATTCTCTACACAGAAACACTTTTTTTTTTCTGGTTGTGGGGCTTGAACTCAGGGCTAGTACTCTACCTCTTCGAGCCACAGCACCACTTCTGGGTTTTTCTCTGTATGTGGTAATGAGGAATTGAACCCAGGGCTTCACACATGCTAGGCAAGCACTCTACCAGAGCCACATTCCCAGCCCCATAGGAACCCTCTTAAGGATCCAATTTCCCAGTCAAGATTTGAGTGGAGGAAATAAATCCGTAATATTAAATGAACAAAATCTACCATGACCCCTGTCTTACATAGTTTTCACATTTATTTACTATAACATCAATTTTCTCCTTTTTGGTACTGGGATTTGAACTCAGAGCTTTCATGCTTGTCAGGCTTTCTTCAGGCCACACCTCCAGCCCGATTTTCTTCTTTACAATTGCTTTAATGAGGTTTCAAGATTGAAAAGACTAGCTAGCTCATGGCTGTAATTCTAGCTATGCCATGACACTGAGATCTGAGGATTGCAGTTTGAAGCCAGCTGGGGCAGGAAAGTCCATGAGACTTTTTTTTTTGGTCGTGGCCCTAGGCACTGTCCCAGCAGCACTCTTCAGCTCAAGGCTAGCACTCTACCACTTGAGCCATAACGCCACTTCGTTTTCTGGTGGTTTAGATGGAGATAAGAGTCTCTTGGCCTTTCCTGCCTGGGTTGACTTTGAACCTTGATCCTCAGATCTCAGCCTGAGTATCTAGGACTACAGAAGGTATGAGCCACCGGTGCCCGGCTCCAAGAGGCTCATCTCTCCCATTAACTACCAAAAAAAAAGCCAGAACTAGCAGCTATGGTTCAAGTGCTAGAGCACTGTCCTTGCTCACAAAAGCTCAGGACAGTGCCCAGGTCCTGAGTTCAAGCCCCAGGGCTGGCACAAAAAAGAAACTTCAATTCAGGGATTTAATCCCCACCCCCACAGTCCTGCCTCAGATCACACAGCTGAGGATCACCGCATAAAGGCTCAGGATTTGTGTTCTGTTCCAAGGTCTAGCTTCACTGCCTTTGGGAGGCCAGGGGAGGAAGGAGGCCGGGGAGGGAGGAGGCCAGGAGAAGGGAGGTGGCCGGGGGAGGGAGGAGGCCGGGGGAGGGAGGTGGCCGGGGGAGGGAGGAGGCCGGGGGAGGGAGGAGGCCGGGGCAGGGAGGAGGCCGGGGCAGGGAGGAGGCCGGGGCAGGGAGGAGGCAGGAGAAGGGGCGCCCGGGCCGGGCGTCCTCAGCTAGCTGGGGGAGGGGGCCCGTGCCTTCAGGGCTCTGGGCTGCAGCGTCAGCTCGGGGGCTGGGCGAGCTGCTCTGTCGCGACGCCCGGGCACGGCCACCCGAGCTCCCCCGGGCCTCGGCGCCGCGTCGCGAGCACGCGTGCTCTGACGTGCGCCGGTGACGTCGGGGTCCGGAGTGACGGGAGCTCGGCGGAAGGGGCGGGCCCTGCGGCGGCCCACACCTCTGCGGCCAGCCCCACCCGGCCCCCCGAGCCCGTGCTCGCCGGCCCGTCCACGGCCCGCGGGCTCAGGCAGCGGCCTGCCGCGCCCCGCACACGGGGCCGCGGGGCGGAGGGTCGGCGCGGCGCGCGAGGCTGGCGCGGACTACAAGTCCCACAATGCCCCGGGCCGCGGCGGCGGGGAAGGAGGGGTGTCTCAGGTGTCTGCGACCTCGGCGCCGCCCGCCCGGAAGTGCCCGCGGGGCCGCGATGGAGCTGGCGGAGCCGAGCGGTGAGTCCCCACGCGAGGCCGCGCCCACCCGCCTCCCGGCCCGGCCGGGCCCCGCCCCGGCATCGCCCGGGGCCCTCCCGGGGCTGGGGGAGGGGGGCGGGAAGATGGGAGGAGGGCTGGAGCCGCTGGGTGGGGAGGGCCGAGCCTCCGTTCTCCAGTGGGCCCGGGACTGGCGGCCTCCCCCCGAGTGAGGGGTCGGTCGGGCCGCCGCGGGGTTGGGTTTGGGATTAACCCACGGAAGGGCCGAGCGGCGAGGGTGGCAGCGACCCGAGGCTCCGGATTGCCCAAGGGTGGAGTTTGACGTTTGGTGTGGGGAAACTTTGCCAAGCAGCCCCTGCTTCCGCGGGTGGCGTTTGGGTGACATTTCACCCGAAAGGGGAGGGCCGGGAGACCGAGAGATCCCTTTCCGACTCCATGGAGGACCTTTAGTGACAGCATTAGACGAGCTTGGGGGTAGGGGCGGATAGCTGAAGGAGTGGACTTTGGAAGAAATGGACAAACGAATGGGCAAGCTGTGGAGTGAAGTCTGATAGAGGTTAAATGTAGAGAGCTTGCTTACAAGGTCAAGGCCCTTTCCTGGAGATAGGGTTTGGATGACTTAGGGAGCTGGTTAAAGACCTAGAACACAGGTAACAAGAGTTAGGACTTGGAATCTGGTGATAGGAAGTGACAGACAGCCAAGTTGGGGTGACGGAATCAGAGCACTCTGTACCCTGGGGTGCACAAGGGGATGGAGGAATTAGGACTGTGGGAGAGGTGTAGTATGGGGGAAACCAAGAGCCTGTTGGAGTCTGGAGAACTCCTGGCCTGACCGGCAGCCCCTCACTGGATCTTTGTGCCTCTCCAGCTCGGTAGCACAGCAGGCAAGGCAGTGCCATGGCCTTGATTGAAGGGGTGGGTGATGAGGTGACTGTCCTTTTTGCGGTGCTTGCCTGCCTCCTGCTGCTGGCCCTTGCTTGGGTCTCAACACACACCACTGAGACCACCACGGACCCCCTGCCCCAGACATCAGGGACTCCAACAGCAGCCCAGCCCAGCGAAGCCATGGCAGCCACTGACAGCATCCGAGGGGAGGCTCCAGGGGCAGAGACTCCCAGCCTGAGACACAGAAGTTCAGCTGCACAGCCAGAGCCTGGCACAGGGGTTACAGCAACGCTGCCACCTCCGGACTCCCCACAGGAGCCCCTAGTGCTAAGGCTGAAATTCCTCAATGACTCAGAGCAGGTGGCCAGGGCCTGGCCCCACGACACCATTGGCACCTTGAAAAGGTAAGCCGGGGAAAAGGGTAGGATGGAAATGCAAAATAAGGGGGAGGAGGGGAAAGGAGTGGGTGTGCTTGCAGAAGGCCCCAGAGATAAGGAGCCCTCTGTGGGAACTGAGCTCCCCAAATCACACTGTACTGTTTTCCCCTGTGGCAGACTGCCCCCCAGAGGCCACAGCCTGGGTGGTGTGTGCAGGGCAGGGTCGAGGGGTGGGAGCCTAGCTCTGGAAAGGGGACTAGGATTGCCTGAGGCCTGCTCTCTTACCCAGGTCCCTCTCTCCTCAGGACCCAGTTTCCCGGCCGGGAGCAGCAGGTGCGCCTCATCTACCAAGGCCAGCTGTTAGGAGACGACAGCCAGACGCTGGGCAGCCTTCACCTCCCTCCCAATTGTGTTCTCCACTGCCACGTGTCCACGAGAGTCGGCCCCCCACATCCCCCCTGCCCACCGGGGTCAGAACCAGGCCCCTCCGGGCTGGAAATTGGCAGCCTACTGCTGCCCCTGCTGCTGCTGCTGCTGCTTCTACTCTGGTACTGCCAGATCCAGTACCGACCCTTCTTTCCCCTGACCGCCACCCTGGGCCTGGCCAGCTTCACCCTGCTGCTCAGTCTCCTGGCCTTTGCCATGTACCGCCCGTAGCGCCTCCACGGGCTCTTGGCAAAGCAACCTGCCCTCCTGGACCTCATTCTCCAAGGCGAGGTGGGAACTGCTGTCTGCCCCGGCCAGCCTCCCCAGCTTGCTTCTTCCCACTACCCTGGAGCCCAGCCCTGCGTCGCAGAGGACTCCGGAGGCTGGGGGAGGCTCCTCCCTGCGATCTTCACGGCTCTGGGCCACCCCCGGGAGCTGCTGGCACTCAGCCCTCACTGACAGTGGGCTCCTCCACATCGGGCACCTGCTGTCGCTGCCTTGGCCCTGGGCAGAGCCAGGCCACCCCCCTGGGCCCGCCTTAGTGTCCTGCCGGAGGACCCAGCCACCTCTGGTCCCTGAGAGGCTGATTTGGGGACCCAGATCGGGAGGCTGGTGAAAGGGAGCTGGGAGGGACAGAGGTGTCGTCTGGAACATGTGCAGATTAAAATAACTGTGAAGTTTTCACTCTTGGTGTGCGTCTGTGTGGACTCACGCAGCGGGGAGAAGGGAGCGAAGGCAGGGCCTGGGCTCGGCTTCGGTTGGTCGGGTGCCGCTCCGCTAGTGGGGTGGCTGACCTCGCTCGCCCCCGAGCTTGGGTCCCGCGGCTTTCAGCCTTTGGCTCCTCGGCCCCGCCCCCGTCTCGATCCCGCCCTCTTGCCGCGCGCGCACTTCCCGGAAGCGGGGGGCGGGACCGAGGCCCCCGCTCGCAGCGCCTGCTGGGAGCCACGTCTCCTCCGCTGGCTGCGCGCCGCGCGCTGCGCGCTGCGCGGTGACTGGCGTCCAGCGGCGGTCCGCGGGCTGCTGGGAAGATGGCGGACTCGGTGGTCCGCCGATGAGGAGACCGCGGGGAGAACCCGGCTCCCGGGCCCCGAGACCGACTGAGGGAGCGATCTGCGCGGGGCCCGGGGAGTCATGTAGGGAGGGTGGCGTCTGGCGGGGGAAGGGGGCGGCGGGCCGCGGGAGGGCGGCGGGCGCGGGCTCTGGGCGTCCCCGGGGCGGGCGCGGGACCCCGACGGCCCCGGCTCCGCGCCTTCGCGGAGGTGCGCGCCCGGACCCCGCGCGTGCCCTGCGAGGGGAGCGCCGTGTCCCCCTTTCACGGGTGAGGAGACAGGCGGAGCGCGAGACCGCTGTCCAAGGTCACGCAGCGGTAAGAGGGAGCGCCCAGCCCGGGGCCGCGCCGGCCCTCTGCGCCGCCGCCCTCCGCCCCGGGCCAGAGGTCCGGCCGGGCGCGACCACTAACCCCGTGAGTGACCTCGGGCTTAATTTCCTTGTCTCCACCCGTGAAAGGAGGCAGCGACAGCTCCACGATGGAGGAGATAGTGCATGTGGAATTGCTTTGCGAATAGCGCTGCGCCGAACACACGGAAGGACCAGGGTTGCTGTTGCAAAGAATGGAAAGGGGGAAGAGGGGCAGGAGGGGAGAAAGGACCAGAGCAGTTAGAAAGGGTTGCGCTCACGCCAGGCTCTTCTGCCAGGGGAGTGAGGTAAGGAGTGGCTAGCAGGGCTTTCCCCCTCCTTGGACGAAACCTCACCCGATTTCCTGACTGCCCCCCCAGGGTCTCCATCACCCAACTCCATGCTTCGAGTCCTGCTCTCTGCCCAGGCCTCTCCTGCTCGGCTGTCGGGCCTGCTACTCTTCCCACCAGCACAGTCCTGCTCTTTAGGGCCCAGCAAGTGGGGGAACCATCCTCTTGGAGGAGGGCCCCGTGCAGGCCCTGTGCAAGGCCTCCAGCGGCTTTTGGAGCAGGCAAGGAGTCCTGGGGAGTTGCTGCGCTGGCTAGGCCAGAATCCCACCAAGGTGCGCCCTCACCACTACCCTGTGGCACTTCGTCGTCTGGGCCAGCTCTTGGGGTCTACACCTCGGACCCCCCCTGTGGAGCAGGCCACACTACAGGACTTGAGTCAGCTCATCATTCGAAACTGCCCCTCCTTTGACATTCACACCATTCATGTGTGTCTGCACCTGGCAGTCTTACTTGGTGAGGAGTGCATCTGGGAATGTGGGCATCTAGGCAAAGTAGAAAAAGAACAGTGGAGGACTCAAGGTCACCAATAGACTCAGTCTCCCAGGGTTTTGCCCAGGAATGACACACACCATGCACATTTGCTGCTGCCTGTGGCCAAAGCAGATGTCATAATCAACTAGCATTCATAGATGGGTGCTGGTGGCTTTTGCTTGTAAATCTTAGCTACTCAGGAGGCTGAAATCTGAGGATGGTGGGTTGATGCCAATCCTGGCAGAAAAGTCTATGAGACTCTTATCTCCAATTAACCAGCAAAAAGCTGAATGTGCTGCTCAAGTGGTAGAGCAACAGCCTTGAGCAAAAAAAGCTACCTTACCAGCACACGCACACAGAAAGTAGCATTCATTCCAGCTCCCTAGGTTGTTGCCCCAGGTTCCTTCCAACACAGTGCTGCTCTAGGAAGCCACATTTGGAACAAGATGAGATCCCTATTTTATACCTCTGCTATACCTTCTTGCTCAGGAACTGAAGATGAGAAAAGTGAGAACTCATGCTAACAGTGAGAACAAGGACTGCCCTTGCCCCTTTCCCTCTCAGGCTTTCCATCTGATGGGCCCCTGGTATGTGCCCTGGAGCAGGAGCGGAGGGCTCGCCTCCCTCCAAAGCCACCTCCCCCTCTGCGGCCTGGCCTCCATGGTGGTCAGAGGTTGGAAGTTGCTTTGAACTGCCCCCATTTCCAGCGGTACCCACGGAAGCAACTGATCAGCAGCCTGACAGGTGCAAATGGGGACAGGGTTGAGGGGCCCTTAAGTCCTCTGGAGACCTGGCCTGAAGGCCAAAGGTAACGGGCTGTTTTTCACAGAGGTTAGGCCAGAGGAATTCAGTCCCCACGCGATGGTGCTCCTGGCCCAGCACCTGGCACGCCACCGGTTGAGGGAACCTCAGCTTCTGGAAGCCATTGCCCACTTCCTGGTGGTCCAGGAAGCCCAGCTCAACAGCAAGGTGGGCTTGCCTCCCACCCTGCCATGCTCCCCTGTGAGTCAGCCTCAGTGACTGGGGCAGGCCCAGCCCCCTCGTCCAACTTGTTTGGCCTCTTCCTCCCGCAGCAAACATACCGGCCAAGCTCCATGCTCCAGGGTATCTGTGGCCTGGCCAACTCTCATAACAGCATGGAAACCTCCAGTTCTGCAGTTTTCTAGAGAAAGCACTCTTAGCACTGGCCTAGCCTCACCCTTCCCACTTGACCAAGTCTGCAGGCCACACCCCCTCTGCTTGTGTAGTAGTGAGCCCCATGTGGCTCAAGACACTGTTGATGCTGTTGCATTTTCAGTGTGTATGCCAGGGTAGATGGCTATTCTGTCTCAATAGCCATGGTACCGCTGGGCCAGGCCTCTGCGGTCAGCTTGTGAAAGGCAGTGCGCTGGTCTCTCCACAGATGGTACAGAAATTGCTCTTGCCCTTTGGGCGGCTGAACTACATGCCACTGGAGCAGCAGTTCATACCCTGCCTTGAGAAAATCCTGGCTCGGGAGGCTGGGGTGGCGCCCTTGGCCACAGTCAACATCTTGATGTCACTGTGCCAGCTCCAGTGCCTGCCCTACAGAACCCTGCACTTTGTCTTCTCCCCAAGTTTCATCAACCATATCACTGGTACGTGTGGTGGACGGCTGGTAGGGCTGAGGAGTGAGGAAGTGCCCAGGGGCTGGCAGTCTAGGATTTCCCCAATTCTTGGTTTCCCACAGGCACCCCTCATGCTCTGATTGTGCGCCGCTACCTCTCTCTGCTTGACACGGCTGTGGAGCTGGAGCTCCCAGGATACCGAGGCCCCCGCCTTCCCCAAAGGCATCAAGTGCCCATCTTCCCGCAGCCACTCATCACTGACCGTGCCCGCTGCAAGTACAGGTGTGCAGGCAGCCCGGGGTGAGGGGATGGTGAGCCATGGAAGCAGAGTAGAACGCCAGAGCCTCCACACGCTGCTGAGCATGGATCTTAGCAGTCATAACGAAGAAAACAGGCCCAGAGACAGCAAAGGGGTTTGCCCAGGGTAGCAGTGCCCAGCCGGGACAGACTGGCCTGCAATGAGACCTTGGGTCCTACCGGTGCCCTTTCCCCAGTCACAAGGACATAGTAGCTGAGGGTCTACGCCAGCTGCTAGGGGAGGAGAAATACCGCCAGGACCTGACTGTGCCTCCAGGCTACTGCACAGGTGAGGTGCTGGTGGGCAGGAGCCCTAGAGCTGGGCAGCGCCGGGCCTCCAGCGAGGCCGAAGCCCTACTCTCTCCCCTGTAGACTTCCTGCTGTGTGTCGGCAGCTCGGGTGCTGTGCTTCCCATCAGGACCCAGGACCCCTTCCTGCCTTACCCGCCACGGTCCCGCCCGCAAGACCAGGCCTCGAACCCCACAACTCAAAACCCTGCCCAAAGGTAAGAAAGCTGGTGGGGGAGCCTTGGCCAACTGGCCACCAGTACTCTGAGCCATGTCTGCCCCCCTCCAGAGTGGTGCTGATGCTGCGCGAGCGTTGGCATTTCTGCCGCGACGGCAGGGTGCTGCTGGGATCCCGGGCCCTGAGGGAGCGGCATCTAGGCCTAATGGGCTACCAGCTCCTGCCGGTGAGAGGCCCCGCCCCGCCCCCCTCGCAGGCTTACCCGCTGCCTGCCCACGGTGACTCACTGACCCACTCTCCTCTCCCCACAGCTGCCCTTTGAGGAACTGGAGTCGCAGAGAGGCCTGCCCCAGCTTAAGAGCTACCTGAGGCAGAAGCTCCAGGCCTTGGGCCTCCACTGGGGACCCGAAGGGGGGTGAGGGAATGCGCAAGGGGCTCAGGATGGCCCCCCTATGGGGGGTGGACAACTTGCACTTTGGCTCCCTGTTTTGGTTTATCATTAAAGTCCCTTTCCTTCCTATGTTGAGTCTCGTTCCTGGGGCAGGGTAGGGTTCCCTATGTTTTTCACCCCTCCCCCCAAATGAAGACAGGCCAGGGCTAAGTGGGGGGGCCGAAGCACTTTACTGAAGGAGTGGGGAGAAGAGGACTTTAAATTATTAATCACTTAAATAAAAATGAGGAGGAGGAGGGAGAGACACCATCCCACCAGCCCCCGTTCCCTCTGCCCGACAGTCCCTCTGCGAGTCCCTCTGCTGTCCTCCAGGCAGCAGCTACACAGGCATGGGCATCTCGTTGTACTCGTCCACACCCTCGCGCTCATCAAACACAGGCTCCGCCTCATTAGCATCCAGCTGTGAGAGGAAAGGAAGACTGAGTGTTCCAGAACCTTGGGAAGGGAGTGCCCATGGGAAGGGGGACTGGAGAGGAGGGGGCAGGGCTCCTTACACATTTCATCTCTCGTTCAGTGAAGATGCGGGTGAGCACCACCATTCGCAGAGGCACCGTGAGGATGAGGATGAAGGGGAAGGCCAGGGAGGCAGCTGTGGACATGACTGCCCAGAGCAGGGCCAGGCAGAGAAGCTGCAGGGCGGTGAACAGATGCATCCGCAGGGTCCGAACCTGGGGGCAGAGATGAGGTGGGCCTACGTGTCCCCCCGAGCTAGCCATATCCAGGGGACAAAGGACGTCCTTCCTCTTCAGAGGGGCTAGAAGAGCCCATGTGTCCAGCATGCAGAGGGGGACTGGCCACCCTCTTGGGTGGCCCACTCACCTTTTTGACATAGGTGACATCTGGGTGGTGTTTGGGCGGCATGAGCAGCAGATGCAGCCGCTCGTAGAATTGGATCCCATTGAGGGAAGTGACTCCCATGTACAGGAAAATCCCAAAAAGCACAGCGAGAGGGATTTGTCGGAGCAGATCACCGATGACCATGGAAAGGCCTGGAGAGGGGTGAAGAAAGAGCGGCCTCAGCTTTCTCCCTCGGTGGCCCGCCCTTGAGAACCCATGGAGAAAGTGGAGACAAGGCCAACATACCAACAAGCAGAGCCACCAGCAGCCCTGTCACCCGCTGCTCCTTGACCTCCTGAATCTTAGGCTTGTCTCCAGGTGCCACAGCTTTGCTCATGACGGTAAGTGCGTTGGCATGGGTGACGGAGCGGACGGTGGCTGCAGCCAACCAAGGCAGGCCGAAGAGGGCACAGATGCCGCCCATGGCCACGATGAGCAGCAGGTCCAGATGGAAGCCGGAGCCCTTCTGCAGCATGCGCTCCTTCTTGGAGATGATCAGCCTGAGTGGGAAAGGCAGTGCTGGCTGAGGCCAGGCCACACACAGCACATCCCTTCTCACCTTCCCAGAGCGCCCCAACCAGTCCCTGTGTCGGGACTAGAATTCCATCATGATCTAAACTTGCTCTTATCTTACATGACCCCTTTCCAGCCAGGCTGTCCCTGCCCCGGCCAACAAAGACGATATTTTCTGCTGCCTATAAAATAAACTTGAGTCAACCTGGTACCCAAATCCCTTGGGCTCCTTTGCCCAGCACAGTGATGGTCTCCACGTTCTCCCAGAGCCCCGAGACCCATCAGCTAGGAAGGCTCACGTGGTGATCTGCGTCTCCATGAAGATCAGGATGAAGACCAGGACGGCAGGCAACAGGCTGGCCACCATCATCCACACAGGGAAGGGGCTCTTCTCCCCCAGGGGGTTGATGATCCAGCCCCGCTTGTCTGGAGCCGTCACTGAGAATCCGTCAGGCACACTCAACTTCTACAGGAATAGGGTCAGGGGCAAAGGTGGATGTGCGGGCCCACCACAGAAAGAGGTTGATGTCTGCCCAGTCTGCCCTGGCTGGGGGCTACAGAACCCAGAGTAGTAGAAGCAACGCAGTGCCAGGCAGTAGCTCCTCACTGCCACGTGTACCACCTTACCTGCGTGTAGGTATCCTCGATACTGTAATCTACAAGCACCATGATGAGGATTGCGATGGGTACCCCGAAGTCCCCGATCACCCGTCGGATCTGAGAGGGAAAGCAGCATGCTCAGAGGCCTCCTGCCAAACACAGCCCCTCATTTCCTTGTCAGCTTCCAGCCTGAGCCCACATACCCGGCCTGGAAAGAACCGGCTATTCTTGAATTTTCGAAGGAAGAAGGCAATGAAGAAGGTGCCCGCCATAAGCACCAGTGACAGCAGGGCTGTGTTGGGCTGGCCCCGGAGTCTCCCGGGTACAGACGGTCCAGCCAAGCTCTCGTTGCCCGGGCTCAGTGTGGATGCTGCCCTGGACCAAGTCATGTTGTCGTCACCATCTGCCTCTGAGCTATTAGAGACTGAACAGCCATGGAGGGGGTGCTCCTGGAAGATCTGGAGAAGGCACAAAGAACTCCATTAGCTGAACTGGAGAGAGAGCTCCGCCTGAGCGGGATGCTGGGGGCTGGGACTGGCAGGGAAAAGGCCAGTTTGCCTTCCAGAAGCGTATGTGAGCACGTGTGTGTGCCAGGGTGTGAGAGAGAGATGTGATAGGGCCTCACTATTTTGTGTGTGTGTGTGCCTGTGTGTGAGAGATGTGATAGGGCCTCACTATTTTGTGTGTGTGTGTGTGTGTGTGTGTGTGTGAGAGAGAGAGATGTGATAGGGCCTCACTATTTAGCCCATGCCGGCACTCACTGGCCCAGCTCACACTCTAATCCTTGTTCCTGCCTCTGTCTCCTACCATACCTGGCTTGAACTTGTATTGTTGGATTAACAAAATGACCCAACTGATCCTTTTCAATAATCAATGAAAATGATCCAATTAGTCACTGGTGGCTCATGCCTGTAATCCTAGTTATTGAGGCTGAGACCTGAGGATTGTGGTTCAAAGCCAGTATGGCAGCAAAGTTCATGGTACTCTCAGCTCCAATTAACCAGCAGAAAGCCAGAAGTGGAGGGGTGACTCAAGTGGCAGAGTAGTCTTTTTTGTTGTAGTTGGTTATGGGGCTTGAATTCTGGGCCTGGGTGCTGTCCATGAGCCTCTTTGTGCTCAAGGCTAGCGCTCTACCATTGAGCCACAGCGCCACTTCTGGCTTTTTCTGTTTATGTGGTGCTGAGAAATCGAACCCAGGGCCTCATGCATGTGAGGCAAGCACTCTACCACTGAGCCACCTTCCCAGTCCTGGCAGTCTTGAGTGAAAAATTGGAGATCATGAGGCTCCAAGTACTACTGGCACATGAACACTCACAGACAAAAGAAAAAATGATCCAGAAGGTCAGCTGTGAACACAAGGCCTCGTGGACTAAGGGAAGGCCCAGGGGCAGGCTGGGAGGGAGGAAGACCATTGGGTGTAGTGTGAGCCAGTCCCAGAGGAGCTGCGGGAACTGGGAGAAGACACCTCCTGCCACTGTCCTTTATGTCTGATACCCAGGCTGTGACTGTGTTTGTTACCTGTGGGCCATTCCCTTCCCATACTCTCACAAATTTGACATTTTAACAAAATTGAATGTAACCCTGGGTATTAGGTTTTTGGGTTTTTTTGGTCAGTTGTGGGGCTTGAACTCTGGGCCTGGGCGCTGTCCCTGAGCTCTTCAGCTCAAGGCGAGTACTCTATCACTTGAGCTACAGCACCACTTCTGGTTTTCTGGTGGTTAATTGGAGATAAGAGTGTCATGGACTTTCCTTGCCCAGGCTAGCTTTGAACCACGATCCTCAGATCTCAGCCTCCTGTGTAGCTAGGATGACAGGCGTGAGCCCCCAGTGCCCAGCTTGGTATTCCTTTTTGAAAGAAGGATGTGAACCATGAATATGTGTTGGCAACAGTCAGGTTAGGAGGAAGGAGACCGAGCTCTAGCTAGCTTGAGGGCTCCATGGGACTACAGGCCCAGGGGACACTAAGATAAGCCTGGCCTCCTGTCTAGATAGAAAAGCCAAGATGTTCTGGGCTCCCTGCTGCCCAAAGGCCCTCTCCCAGCTGGGCCTGTTTACCTTGATCAGCTTGTAGAAGGTCTCGTAGATGAAGATGAGGGAGATGAGGAAGGCAAAAATCTCCTGAGTGAAGCGGGAGACGAAGCGGACCAGGAAGCTACCCTCCAGGGCCACCATGAGCAGGGCTAGGAGTACGAGCCAGAAGCCAATCCACACACGGCCCACCAGGTACTCCAGCTGGTTGCTATTACAGAACTGGGAAGGCAAAGTTGGCTGTCAGGCCCAAGATCTGGGACTGAGAGCAGTATCTCAGGAAGGGGGCCGGTCTTACCGAGAAGAAGGCCTCCTCAAAAACCAGGAGGGGCCCAGAAAAGCCGATCACTAGCAGCGGCTGAGCCCCCAAAAGACAGAAGACCACACCCTGGAGCGCTGTAGACATGATCAGCTCTGACACCCCTATCAGGTTCTGCGTTTTCTCTCCTAAGGGTACAAGCACAAGCTCAGCTGCTGCCCACTGCCCTGCCCACTGACACCGGCCTCCCTCCAAGGACTCTGCTTACCAAGCAATCCCCCAAAGGTGATGGCAGGCGACAGGGCCGCGAAGTAGATGAAGATGACCGCCGCCAAGCACTGAGGGTCAAGCGCATCGCGGAAGTCACTCAGGTAGTGGGGGTAGCGGCGCCGTACGTCCCGGATCAGCCCCCCAAAGGGCCGGCCGGTCCGCCGGAGGGGATCGTCTTCAACTGCACCTGCCGCCTCTACCATCTGCAGGAGCGCTGCAACCCAGGCCTCCGTCAGGGCGCCAGTGAAGACTCTCCCTTCCCAGGGAGCCCCCGCTGGTGTGGCCTACATGGGCGTACCCTTATCTTGCGCAGACTTGGGCTCCAACCCAGCGCCGGGGGGCAGCAGCCGGCCCTGCTCCTCTCGCTTCTTGAGCATCTGGCGTTGGAAGTGGGCAACGGAACGCAGCAACTCCTCGCCCTGCACCTCTGAAGGCGGCAGCACCACGCTGCAGTCCAAGAAGGCATTGATGGCCGTCAGCAAGTCATCCCGCTCGTCTGCCAGGTAGGCTGCCTCATGGAATTGCTGCCAACACAGTTGGGGATCAGGAAAGGGCATAGAAG